TTGTGCAGCACTGGCACAGGTGCCCAGGGCAGCTGGGGAATCCCCATCCCTGGAGGGATTTCAAAGCCATGGGGATGTGGCACTTGGGGACATGGGTCAGTGGTGGCCTTGGCAGTGCTGAGGGAAGGGTTGGATTTGATGATCAGAAGGGCAGGGCAGGCAGGTGAGAATCCTACCAAAAACCTGTGCCAGCTGGGGGTGGGGGGAATGTGCTGCTGCAAAAGAGGCCTGGTCTGGGTCCATCATCACAGTGAGCTTGAAGTGACTCCATTCAGGAGCATCGTAAATCCTCCTGGTTTAGGAGCATTTACCTGGTGGGGGAGATAAAACTTGCCAGCTGAGGGCTCTGCAGGCTGGGAGATGCTGATGCCATGGGATAGAACAAAGGAGAAGCAGCAGTGTAACATAATTATGGTGAGACACTGGCACAGGATGCCCAAAGAAGCTGTGGCTGCCCCATCCCTGGAAGTGCTCAAGACCAGGTTGGATGGGGCTTGGAGCAACCTGGGAGAGTGGTGGAAGGTGTCCCTGCCCGTGGCAGAGGGTGGAACAAGATGGTCTTTGAGGTCCCTTCCACCCCAAACTGTTCTGTAGTTCTATGGACAAGACGTAAGTGTAGATTTTACATTCCTGGCAGTAAATTCCAGGCTGATGGTGTTCCTCCTGAGTTCAAGGAAGCCTGTGGATGATGGGCATAGTGCCCAGCTGGCCTTGCAATCCATAATTCCATTAGAACAGTGGTTCTTCCTTGTCATGGGAGGCTCAAAATCCACCCCACATCACCCTCAGCTTCCTCAGTAATAAATATTGGCAGGCAGGGTCTGTGTGAGGGAAAGTGTCAGGGAAAGCAGGTGGGATCCTGTGATTTTGGGTTTGCAGGAGTCCCAGACCAGGATATGTTTGTTTATTCCTGTGCTGTTTCATCTTACAAGTAAATACATTTTTGGGACTGTTCACCTGAGTTTAAGATACCAAAGAACGTGCAGCCTTTGGAAATACATCCAAGGAAAGTTGTAAGGGCTATGTCAGGGATATTCCACGCTTTTGGTGTTGAAAGATGCTTTGTGAAGAGTTTCAACAGACAGGAATTTCTGATGAGAAAAGGAGGCTCCTCTCCCTGTAAAAATGTCCTGAGGAAGAGATGTAACATCCAGCAAAGCCAGCCAAAGGACCTTGAAGCTGTTCCAGAGGGCTGGTGTTGTCCCAAAGGGACAGGAAAGGGAGAAGGATGAGGAAGGTAGAGGTGTTTTTGAGATCCCCCCCAATTGAGGAGGGGCGTCCGAGGTGTGGTGAGGGCAGTGCTGTGGGAGGGATGGTTTTGGGCCACGGGTGGAACAGGTGATGTCACGTCAGATGTTACAGCATCAAACCACAGCATCTCTGTAACTCGGGGTGCCTGCTTTGGAAAGGATTCCTACACACCCAGCATGCTGGGAATAAAGAATGCTTTGCTTTCTGATGCTCAAAAAGGAGTGTTAGGGGGTTCTTTCTGGAATCAGGGCTGCCTTGGCTGCCCCAGCTCCCAGGGGACACGGGGGACAGGAAGGGGCCGTGCTGCTGTGAGGAAGGGGGAATCATGTTTTAAACTGTCTTCAAACAAACAATTAAAATCTTGGACTCCTAGAACAATCCCTGTGCTGTAATTCCTGATGGGTCCCAGGGGTTTATCCTGACTCCCAGCCCCTCCTCCCCTCCCCAGGGTAACAGTTCTGCACAGCCGGGCTGGGGGTGGGAGGATCCTGCAGGATCTGGGCCTGCACCTTCCCTCTCTCCAGAGCCAGGGGAATGTTTGGGGGGAAATCAAATTCTGCCTTCCCAAAGGAAGCATTTTACACTGAAACTGCCCTCTTGGAAACTCCAGCCCCTGCCAGAGGCCCGGGGCAGGAAGGAGCTGAACACCACGGAGTTCTGCTGCCCCAGATCCCGGCACCTTTGCCCAGAGGTGAGGAACGAGAGAACCAACGGCTTGGGAGGACATTCCTGACCAAATGCCAGCAATTTACTTCCATGTTTGTCTGCTGTTGGCATCAGAGTCCATCTAACCCACGCTGCAGGAGCTGGCCCTCGCTGCCCTGCCCCGTGGGAACGATTCAGTAACACCAGCTGTGGGTCCGTGTCCGTCTGTCCCAGCTCCAGGGGCTGGTCCTGACTGCACCAGTTTGGGGGGTGAGAACCCCCAGAGTGGAATCACTTCTTCTTCCTGTTCAGGAGATGAGGTGCAGACACCTTCACCTTACCAGGAATATTCCTTGACAAATCGGTGTCCTAGAAAACAGCGGAGAGGAGAAATGGGACACGGCAGAAAAGCATTTACAGGCGCCTTCCTGAGCCCTGGGCACAGGGATGACACGTTGCCCACAGTGAGGGGCACAGGACACACCTCCAACCTGAACTCCCAGGGCCAGCACCTGCCCCTGCCACAGGAATTCCCCCTCCCAAAACCAGAGGATTTCTTGGAAGATGCTGCTTCTGCCAGGTAAGTTATTTTAGATCAGGAGTGACACAAAACAGAAACTCAAGGCCCGGTGATACCACTGAGGCTCCATTTCTAATGGCTCTTCCCAGCCTAAGCAGCAAAGGGTGCCCAGAGAAGCTGTGGATTTCCATCCCTGGAGGTGTCCAAGGCCAGGTTGGATGGGAATTGGAGCAACCTGGTCTAGTGCAAGTATGTCCCTGCCCGTGGCAGGGGGTGGAACTGGATGGGCTTTAAGATTCCTTCCAACCCAAACCATCCTGGGACTCTCTGACCTTCCCCAGCAGTGCTAAAAAAAACCCCAAAACAACCAACAGCACGCTCATTTTTGCAGCATTTCCCCCCAAAAGTGGACATTTTGCTGCTGCTGTCACATTTGTGCAAGAGAAACTCAGCAGGAGGAGGAGTCACCTTCACACTGCGGAACAGGTCCTTCTCTCTGGCACTGGCTTCTTTGGACTGCATAAAATTGTGCAAGGCGATCTTGGCAGCTGCAAAAACGCAGGGAGGAGTGAAACAGCTTGGAAAACCACACTGGCTTCACCAGGCAGAGCAGGGAAAAGGATTCAGGGCTTTCAGACCTTACCTTTGCCCTTCTTTTGGGTGCCCGGAGTGAGCTTGACTTTATACCTGCCCAAAGAAAAGGTTTCTCTGAGTAAAGCACAGGCTGTCCCCAAACCCTCCCCCCAAAAAAAGTGCTGCCACTCACTTGTAGTTGGTCATGGCTGTGTAGGGAGCACAGATGGGGACAGCAAAGAGCAGGATGTCCTCGGGATGGGGTTGCCCAGTCAGGGAGTCCAGCAGGGCCTCGCCATCCTGAGGGGCAAAAAGCTGCACTGGGACCAGGCCTGTCCTCCAGCCCCTCCCTGCTGGGCTTACTGGGGACTGAAGGGTCCCTGCCATGGCAGGGGTTGGAGCCAGGTGGTCTCTGAGGTCCCTTCCAAGCCAAACCATCCCATGATTCCATGACTGAGGGATCACTCACTTCACTGGCATCGCATCACCGAGCCCCGATTCATGACTGACCCTCTGTGATTACTGAAATCACATCATTGGATGGATCTCAGTTTTGGGACCCCCAAATGTTGGTACATCTTCACAGGGTCACCATCAGCTTCCCCCCTGACAGACAGCCTTATCCTCCTCCACGAAAGAATTTAAAAGGAATTCACTTATTCCCAGCCTTGGGCAACACCCACAGCCTGTAATTATGGAAAAGTTGGAAGCAATTTTATAGGTAAATAAACTTCTAAATGACAGAACCCCCTGCCCTGCACACTGTGTCATCCTCCAGCCCAGAGCCACCTCTCCTGGGGGTGCCAGCACCTCCAGAGGCAAAACCAAGGGACAAACATCCATGGAGCCAGCTCTGGTTTAATGGAGGCTGTGGAGATGGGCAGGGCAGGAAGAAAAGGAGGTTCTTTTTAGAAAATACAACTAAGCTGGGCTCAAACAGCCCTGGGGGGCTCCTGCAGGGCTCCCCCTGCCCCAGTCCCACGGGAACACAGCCCTGGCCACACTTCTGGAGCTGCAGACAAACATTTACCTCCACTCCTGGCTGATCCTGGTCCTGCTCCTCCTGCACACAAACAAAGGACAGTCAGAGCTGGGGGGAGCTCAGAGCGTCTCTTCCCCCCCTCCAATTTGCCTGGCACACTCCAGGCTGGGGAGGGAGATGAGTCCCAGAGATACCAAGGCCCCACAACAGAGCTGGGAGCTCATGCTCCTCCCCTTCCCCTCCTGCTCCTCACCTCTCCCCCTGCTCCTCCAGGGCTGGGTCCTGTGCCTCGTGCAGCAGGATTCCTGCTGGGAGGGTCTCCTTGCCCCCTCCTGCTCCACGACGCAGGGCCTTGGGTTTCTGCTGCTGCTTCTTTGCTGCCTCTTCTTTTGTCTTCCCCTTCTTCCCTTTTTTCCCTTTGTCCTCCTTGTTGGAGCCTGCAGACTGTGGGCACACAGGGGGTCAGAGCTGGTGGAGGAGCCCCCCCCAGCCCCAGGGAAGGCAGGGCCCCCCTCCCTCACCCCCAGCAGCTTCATGATGAGCTCCCGGTCCTCCTCGTCCTGGTCCCTGTACTTCTCCTTCATCTTCTTCATTTTGCTCTGCAGAAGGAAACACCAACAGCTCCACAAACCGTGACTCTGGCACAGTTTGGCATCCACAAACACCCGGATGCTGATCCCACGTGCACTCCCCAGTATCCCAAACCTCTCAGTGCATTCCACCAGTAACCAAGAGACTGGTTCCAGTGAGCTCTGTGCTCAGGGACCAGCACAATCATCCCAAACCCACTTAAAGCCCCACCAGGAGTCTAAAACCACGAGGCAGCCACGGATGTCTGGGAAATCTGGGATTGCTGTCCACACTTCACATGCCAACAGCTCCAGCCAGAGGTGCCCCTGGTCCCTGCCCACCTTCTGGCCCCTCTTGATGGGCTGAGGGGCTGGGACCCCCTTGTTGCTGTTGGGAGCTGTGGGAGGCTGTGTCTCCGCCTCCTTCTGCTTCTCCTCAGGCAGCTCCGAGTTCTCAGAGTTGTTCTGCTGCTTCTTTTTCTTCATTTCTCTAAGGAAAACAATCAGGACACACTGCCCCTGGTTGTGACAAGAGAGGCTGCTGCTCTCCTGGCAGCATTCCCACCCTGCTCCCACGTCCCGGAGCTCCGGAGGAACCTGAGGCACGATGTGTGGAAACAACCCCTCCTCAGGAAAACCTCTCCAGCCCACGAGTACACAGGGAACTGTTCACAACCAGCATTCCCAAAGGACAGGAGCAGGACCCTGCACTGGAACTGCAGGATGGACAATGGGTATGGATCTATGGATCAGCCCAGACTGGGAGGTGCAAGACATGCCCTGTGCCCGGGTCCTGGGGAGGGAATGGGGAGGAGGGATTTGCCCAGAGAAGCTGTGGCTGCCCCTGGATCCCTGGAAGTGTCCAAGGTCACGCTGGACAGGGCTTGGAGCAACCTGGGAAGGTGGAAGGTGTCCCTGCCCATGGCATGGGGTGGGACTGGATAAAGTCCCTTCCAACCCAAACCCTTTTGGGATTCTGGGATTCCATGAAACCCCAAGTGGCTCTCACCTCCTCTCCTTGGCAGAGAGGTGCCTTCGCCCCTGGGCCTTGCTGTCACTCTGGGAAGTGAAAGGCAGTTAGAGCACACCCTGCCCAGCAGCAGCTCCCCCTTCCCTGGGCCAAACTCTGGAGCTGGGACCTTACCAAGCTGGGCTCTTCCTCTCTGGGGAGGCTTTTCTGCAGGGATCTGTGGGCAGATGGAAATGGAGCATCAACACGTGGAGCAGCTCAGCCATGGACACACCAACCACAGCCCAGACATGGGCAATGGGATTGTAACACCTCCAGTTCTTGAAAATCCCAGCTTTGGTGAACGGGAAAGGCAGGAATACTGGGATTTAGTTTCCAAAACAAGTCTTAGGTCTCTGCCAGCTCATCTCACACACACAGGCAGCAATGTCTGGGCACCAAAGGAACCCCTGATGTGCAGCTGCCCAGGCACACAGCCCTGCACTGGAAATGGGGCAGCATTCCCCCAGCACTGCCTTGCTGAGCGTGGGAAGAGGGGATGGCAACTCATCCCAGTCCCTGTCCTGGCAGCGATTTAGGAGACCCTCAGGGGTGCCCCCATTGCTGCTGCCTCACTCACCTCTGAGACTGGAGGTGTGACAGGTCGATCGTGGTGTCTGGGTAATTCACCTCCTCCTCCTTCCCTCCGCCCTTTGGCTCTGGAGGTTCCACTTCATCTTCAGATTCTCCATCCTCCTCCTCCTCCTCAGAGTCCCCCTCTGGAGCAGGAGGGGTGTTTCCTCTTCCCTGCTCCAGGTCAGCAATGCCCTCATCATGGGTACTCTCAGATGGGGCTTCCACATCCTCTGGAGCTGCTTCCACATCCTCTGGAGCTTCGTCACACTCAGCTTTTTCCTCTTCACTGCTGCTGTCTCCTCCTTCTGGGGCACAGAGGGCAGGAAAGCACAGCCAGAAACACCACACTGATGCATCACAGAATTATGGAATCAGAGAATCCCAGAATGGTTTGGGTTGGAAGGGACCTTAAAGGCCATCTCATTCCACTCCCTGGGGCAGGGACACCTTCCACCAGCCCAGGTTGCTCCAAGCCCCGTCCAACCTGGCCTTGGACACTTCCAGGGATCCAGGGGCAGCCACAGCTTCTCTGGACAACCTGTGCCAGGGCCTGCCCACCCTCCCAGCCAGCAATTCCTTCCCAATATCCCATCTAACCCTGCCCCCTGGCAGTTTGAAACCATTGCCCCTTGTCGTATCAGTGATCCAGAATCCCACAGGGATCCCACAGGCCCCAAACAGCCCTGTGTGCCAGCAGCACGTGCAGCCCCCAGTCCCACTGTACCTAACAGCTCCACCTCCTCAGCCACCAGCTCACTGGCACTGCTGGACACTTCCAGATCCTCATCCTGGACTTTGATCTTCCTCTCTTCCCGGTGTCTCCAGACACAGCTTTCATCCACCTGGAAACAGAGGCACCTTCGTGTCAGCACCAGGTCTGTTCACACAACACCTCACCTGGCTCTTCCTTTCCTTCTCAACACTTTTTGCCATCGAAAGGCAAGAAAATTAATCCACAGCTCAAGTGTGGCACCCTCAGAAGTCAGGGTAACACACACAGCTGCACACCCACATCCCCTGATGGGGACTGTTATCCCAGCTATCCAGCTATCCAGCTGGGATAACAACCTGTCAGAGGCAGGAATGTTCAGTCTGTTTTCCATGCAGACAGTGCACACTGGGGAAAGATGGAAATGAAAGCAGAGTCATTATCAGCCAGAAGTGTTTTATGGGATTTGTCCCAGCGGGAAAAGAAGTAATTGGGAATGTGCTGATAAGCAAGACCCAGAAAATAAGCCTCCTACAGCTCAAAGCAAATTACAAAAGCCAGCAGGAGCTGCACAGGAAAAGCTGTACCTTAAACAAGAAGCTGAAGCCCATCATCAGATAGGAAGGTGGAAGGAAATTCTTTTTCCCTGAAAAACAAAGGCAGAGCCTCATGAGGAGGTTTAACAGCCATGTAACAGGATGCACTTCCAAAATTCATTTTCATTAGAGGCTTTAAGCTACCAAAAAACAGGAGAACTCAAAAGCAGCTGAGCTAATGAACTTCTGCCCAGGGTTTGGCAAGAAATGCTGCTGCAACTGCCTGATAGTCAGTCTAAACCATTCCCCAACAGATTTTGGGGAGAAGAGCAGGATCTGCTGGCTGTTCACAGTGAGGAGGTGTCTGCTACTGCAGGACAGCCCAGCACCTTCAGAGAAAACACCAAATTCCCACTGTTCCCTTGTGTCTCACCTCGGATCATGAAGCTCCCAGTAGTGAGATATTCTCCTGTGGGTGCAGTTTTAGAAACCTAAAAAAAAAATAAATAATGATATCCTATAAAAAACAAGTGTGGCAGAAGGGCAGCATCATGTAATGACAGCACCACCAAAGTGACTCCTGGCAACAGCTCTCTGGGCTGAAGAATCCGAGGGGTTTTTTTTCAGGGAATTTTCCTAAGGGGTGTTTCAATCCAATCACACACTACCAGCACTGTGTTTTAGAAGTCCTGGGTGAGCAGCTGGGTTATTCAGGAAATAAAACCACCAACACCTCAGTGTAATCTCTACACTTGAGTGACACCAGATCTGACCCACATCCATCAGCTCCCACACAGAGACGCTTTGTCTGCAGTCAGAACCCTTTCCCTCAGATGTCCTGCCTGGAAAGGTCGTGTTCTTACCTGGTTGTGGGAGACCCACCAGGCACTGGTGACCACCCTGGCGTCCCAGGCCGCGCTGTAGCACAGGGCCATCGTTCCAGCCTCCGTCAGGGTGCGGGGCGGGATGGGCTCCCCTGCAAGGGAACACCCGGCACACCATGACACCGTCCAGGCACGGCAGATTAAACCCCACACCTTCCACACGTGCCCTGATCCGCAGTGTGAGCTGGCCAGGACCCCACAGCAGCCCCAGGCAGGTACCTGAGGGGTTCTTGATGACGCAGCTCGTGGCCCCGTGGAGATCGGCGTGCACGTAGATGTCCCCTGGAAGAGAGGGGACTCCAGTCAGCCACGCACCCCTGAGCCGAGCTGGGGGCTCCAACACCAGCTTTGGCTGCAAGGAGCAGGATGGGAAGAGGACACAGAAGCCTTTTAATCCCCCAGCTGTCCCAGGGAGAATCAGCTCCTGAGGGGGCCCATCCAACCCGTTCTTGCCCACGGTGCCAGAGGGACCCCCATCACCAAAGCCCCCTTTGATCCAAGACTCAACATAGGGACAAAGCAGACAGACCTTCCCATGTCTCTCCTGGACATCTACAAAGCTGGAATACGAGAGGCAACCCCCCCCACTCCACCTCTCTGGGCTCACCTGGTTTAAGGTAGCGCTTCACAATCAGCTCGTTCTGCTGCTGATCCCTCCCAGCAATCACCAGGTAATTCTCCGAGCTAATGAACCACAGGAACTTCTCAAACCTGCCAAACCACAGCAAACCCACTGTGTGAGGAACACCTGGAACTGACAGGACACTGCACAGGTGGGGTTTTGTCACAAACTGAGAATAACCATCTCAGCATCTTCAGTTCATGACACTGCAAACAGTTGCGTGTCCATCCACACGCCTGGGGCACAAAAACAAGGCATGGGACAAATACAGCACCACTGCCAATGATATTTTTATTTTTATTTATTTATTTTTATTTTATTTATTCAGTTATTAGATGATTAAAAGCTTTGAGGTTTGGTTTCGTTTGTTTGGGGTTTTTTTTAAATTACAGGATCCCAGAATGGTTTGGGTTGGAAGGAACCCTAAAAAACATCTTGTTCCAAGCTCCTGCCATGGGCAGGGACACCTTCCACTATCCCAGGTGGCTCCAAGCCTTGAACATTTCCAGGGATGGGGCAGCCACAGCTTCTCTTGGCTACTATCCCTGAAAATCCTTCTGGGATTCTATGACTTTAGGAAGCAGCTGCAAGGACACCCAACACAAAGTGCAGAGCTTAGAAATCCTAATTAGCTCCACTTCTAAGGCAGTGGAAACTCAGCCTGACACAGGACACGGGAGAAGGACAGTGGAGCTGTACTTGCCAGTAGACCTTCCTGGCTTTCTGGATGGTGGTGACTGTCTGAACCTCCCTCAGGGTCTGCTTTGTCTTCTTCTCAGCTGATTTAAATGCCTGTTTGGACAGAAAGCAGGATCACAATCCAGAAGGAATCACAACATTGCTGGCTGGACAGTGGAAAATGGCTCTGAACTTCATCAGTGCAGGCTCCACGCTCTGCTGTGCATCCCCTGCATGCACATGTGGGACAGCTGCCGTTGGATTTCCACCCTGGATAGGTATTCTCTGAAATTATCAGCTCTTTGATTGTAAGGATTTCCACTGATTTTCCACTCCTGCCTCCCTAAGTCCTGGTCTCTCAATATCTCCACCTGCTTTGAGTATTGCCAGTGCTACTGGTGGAAAGAGAGGATACCTCAGGGATCTGCAATCCTCTGCTGGGCTCAAAATGTCAAGAATGAAACAACCCTGGTGGGCTGTTTTTCCCTTCCGTGTCTCATTAGGGCTACTTAGACCAGGCCAGGACTTTCCACTTACCAATGACAGGGATTTTGCTTTTAAAGATCTAAAAAAAAATGAAGAAAAAAATTATACCTTTTCTGCAGCTTCCACTGTCTTCTGAGTTTTCTTGGCTGCGTGTCTTTTGTGATCGTAGTACCTGTGGAAACACGAGTGTGTTTGTCCCTGAAATCCCAGAATATTCCCTCATTTTTAGGATGTGTTCATCTCCTGCATATCTGCATTTTGTTCCATCGTGTCACCGTGCAGAGTTGGACTCAAATTAATGTCACAGGTCGAGACTTTGCACCAGTGGGTCTGGTGCAAGAAAATGCACCTCCCAGAGCTGGGGACAAGCTGCCCATTCCAATTTTTAACAAGGTATCCCAAAGCCCTCCCTCCTACAATATTATCACCAACAACTGGAAACAGAAAAATTTCTACCACCAAGGCACACATTTACTGAAAATCTTACTTTTTGGCATTGGCATAGGCAGACAAACTGAGATCAACATCAACCAGCAAAGGTTTGTTCTTCTGAGGTTTCTTCAGCTGTTTGTTTTTATTCTTTTTCTTTTTTCCCTTTGGTTCTTCTGTTTCTCCTTTCTCTAGGTCAGCGTCCTCCTCCTCCTCCTCCTCCTCTTCAGATAACACATATGGGTTCCTAAAACACGTAACTGTGATTAATCCTGTGATTAAGAAAACGGGTTATTTTTTAATTCTTAGGGTAAAGTGCTCTTAATTTTATTCTCTCATGAAGTCTGCAAATGATCTGAGGAGCCCTTAAAGCCTTTTCACTGTGCAGGCACAGGGAGGCGCAGCCTGTTTATGTCCTGATGTCAGCCAAATTTCTGGGGGCAAAAAAAATAAAACAAAAGAAGAAATAAAAGAGCCAAATTTTTTCCAATCCAAGGAACAGACTTAAAACAAGCTTGTTCCACGCACTGACATTTCTGTGAGGTAACTGCAAATTCATAAATCAACTTTGCACCTTCCAGCTTTCACAATAAAAGTTTTTGCTGTAAAAAAGAAATTTTGGTGGTTTTTTGTTGTTGTTTTTTTTTCTTTTTCTCTCCAACATCTGGATACAGGGTCAGCTGAGGTTTTTGCAGTTACCTCAGCAGCATGGTGATGTGGTTTGTGTGCAGCTTTAACTCTTTGATTGCACTGGCCACGGGGTCTCCCTGGGCTTGAGCTTCCTTGACGATGGCCCCGATCTCGGTCCAGTCGATCTGGTTGGCCAAGGCGCTCCGGACCACCTGGATGGCTCTGTCCACCACGGCCAAGTTCATCTCTATGAGCTCCCCTTTCAGCTTATCAGCTTCCTTAGGGAAAGGAAAAGGTGATATCCGTTGGAGCCAAACACACACCCAGCAAAATCACAGAAACAAAAGTCACAGAATCAGCCGGGTTGGAAAAGGGCTCTGAGGTCGTCGGGTCCGACCTCTGACCCAAGAGCACTGAGTGGCACATCCAGTCTCTCCTTAAACACCTGGGGAAATCCAAGGATGAAGTGATTGCATGGGATAGGGGCCAACTGGATGCCTGCAAGCAGAGCAATGCAGAGTGTCCAAGGCCAGGGTGGATGAGCTCGGGGCTGGCCTAGTGGAAGCTGTCCCTGCCCACGGCAGGGGATTGGAATGACGTGAACTTTAAGGGTCCCTTCCAACCCAAACCAGCCTGGAATTCCATGATTATGCATCTTTGACACATCTTCTCAGCTGAAACCCAAAATCTGTCTTACCTGAGCTTGCTGAAGAGCTTCCAGTCTGTGCTCGTGATCCCTCCGGACATTTTCAAGTTTCTTCAGTGCTTGTTTTTCCTTTCAAAAATAAGATGGAAAAAAAATCAATATATAAAGACAAATGGCATCACCCAATCCCTGCAAGAAGTAAGTGAAGCCTCTGAAGCTCCTGAAGCCATCCCAGCTGTCCCAATCCTGGATGAGGACACACCTGCTGCAAGGCCTTCAGATCAATCTTCTGTCCCTCCAGCTTGGAGTAGAACTCATCTGTCGCCTGCAAGAGAAAATCAGGTTGAAGAATCTCCAGGCTGTCCTGACTCAGACCATCAACAAGCAGGCAGAGGAGGAGGTTCCCTCAAGAGAAGTGGCTGCAAAGCACTAAAAGAGGTAACAGAGGCTAAAACAACCTTCAGAAACTTCCCCCATTTCCCTTCCCATGAGCTGAGTTCAGCAAGACACAGATGTGTCTCACTGCAAACCAAGGGCTGTGCACAAGGAAATAAATGGCCAAGTTAGGGTTCATTTTTTTTTGCTGAGAAGTGATGAGAAAGCAGCTGGTCTGATACAGATTAAATGGTTGCAATGACAGACTTGTCTGCCCTGATTTCCTGCTGGTTCACTGGGTGTGTTAAAAAGCCCCAAACGCTCAGAAAAATGCCTAAAAACTGCTGCTGGTGTTCCAGCTGGGCTCAAAAAACAAGGTGTTTTTTAACAAGATGTCCAACCCAAACCCATTCCGTGGTTCCATGATCAGTGCTGCGAAGGAGATGACAGAAGTGCAGCCAAGAAGCAGGGTAGGAATGGGAAATGGGAATTCTGAAGATCAAGGGTCAGGAACAAGAGGCATTTAATGATTTCATGAGTCAAGGACCAGGAAGGACAACGCTCGAGGAAATAATAAATCATTGCCTGGAGCTTCTAAAGTAGTAACAGGAAAAGTATAAATGTGATGACTGTGACAACTCTCCACTACCAAAACATTTGGGATTCACATCCACCTTCCTCGGGGGTTCCTCACACAGCTCCAGGATCTGAGCCCATGAGGACAACACTGCTCAGCAGGAGCCCTGCTTGAGTTGGCCTTTTCCCCCTTAAAATGTTTCTCCATAAAATTAATCCTCTTTTCCAAGGTCTGTATTTCCATTAACAAGCTCTGCACTGTATTTTAATTACTCTTTTTAGCATCAGTCCATTAAAGCACTTAAGTACAGCATCAGCAAAAGCACTGTACCTTATTGAATGAGTCAAATTCCAAGTAGGGGCATTTTGAATGTTGAGAAAACAAGAAAGGATGAAATTCCTCATATCTGTAAAATACACATTTGATATTATCACCTGAAAAAACTAATGTCTGTTATGCAGACTAGCAGAACAAGGAAAAAAAGAGTGAAAAACTTCAAATATTTACGTGTAAATATCTTCTGCTGGTTTATCTGGTTCCAGGCTTGGCTTTTTCTCCCTTTTCTGGATAATATATCCCTAAAAAAAAAAAAAAAGATGTAATTTATATTTGAAAGGGATCTTTTAAGTTTTAGGTGTAACCTCTGATCAGCACAAGGTACCAAATCATTCCAGCAGGGAGACCTTGTGGCTCAGTAAATCCCTGACTCCAACTTCTTCTGGAAAAAGAGGTGAACTCCTCCCAACCCTCAGGGCAATCCTACAGCTCATCATCCAAATGCACAGTTTATGTGCTGGGTTTATTAAAGCACATGTGCAATTCTCACAGGATTTACATCACCTGCTTGTAAATTATTTCACTGCTGCACAATTTTTATTCCACGTCACTCCCCCGGAGCCCGAGCTCACAGAACAAAATCCACCCTGGTAACACCAGGAACAAGCACGTCCTGGACAATTCCTGCCTGCCAGTTCAATTCTGCAATTCCAAAATAATTTATAACCCACCCAGACCCACCTTTCCACTGAAGTTGTCAGTGAGTGCCATGTATTCTTCTGCTTTCTCTAGAGCTGAGAGCACTTTCTCCAGATTTTCTAAAGGGAAAACCAAAAAACAGCAGAAATGTTTTGAGCCCTGGTGCTTCACCCCAGCAATTACTGTTCATCATAAAAAGGAGTTTCATAATAATAAAAAAAAAAATCTATTTGGAGGCTTTTAAGGCACAATTATTCAAGTTTGGGAGGGGGGGAGAAAAAAAAAGACACACAAATGCTAGCACTTTGTAAAAGCAAATCTGCAGAGGCAAAGCATAAACCAGAAGCTGTGAGAGCTTATTTGATACAAAGATGATTTCCTACAGCCCCATAATGCAGCAGGAAGTAAAAAATCCTTTGGATTTATGGCAAAAATAAAGCACACAAGGAAAACAAGACTGTAGGAAAAATCTATCCTGACTTTACCACCCCAATCCACAACTCCCCAGTCAATGTAAAGCTGCTGCTTTATCAAATCCCCAGTGTTTGGGGGATTAAATAAAGACTATAAATAAAAGACTTTGATGTTGATTCTCCTACACAGGATTCTTGTCTAGCATCCTTTTCCACAGGCTCCACCTCACGAGTGAGGTGGTATCTCCTTATAAAACCATTTATAATGCATAAAACCTGATGTTTTATCTCCAATACACTCACAGTGCAAGGGTTTTAAGGTAAACAAGGTTTCCATTAAAAAAGATAAACCCCACATAGTCAGAACTGCAGGGTTAAGGAGCTACTCCCCTCTTTGGGAAAAAAAAAGTACTACACAGGCATAAAACCCCCCAGCTTTTAAAATATTATTTCCTACACACCTTTACTTTCCAGGTGTTGGTCTATTTTGACAGAGCCAGAAAATCCAGCTTCTATAAGGCAGTGCTCGATGAGAGTGGCCCCATAAGCTGTTGAAAGAAAATACTGAAAGATCATCTGTAGAAAACATTTCCAGTGAAATTTGTATTTAAATTTAATTTTATAGAGCGTTTCAACAATCTAAGGCTATTTAAATATGCTGTTTTAGAGTGGTTCAGAACTTCTTAAACAGTATTCCAGAGAAATCCAAGGATGGCTGCCAGGACTAAACATCAGGATAAGGGAAACTGTTAAAAGCAAGAAGTTATCTGAAGTTGTGTCCCTTGTGGAAAATGGGAGACCAAATTCTAAAAGACAGAAACAAAATAAAGCTTTGGAAAATTTGGAAAAAAAAAAACCAAAAAACAAACCCTGACAGGATGAATAATAAAACCTTTTCCAGAGGTATCATAAGCAGGAATGACAGAGCCAGAAGGTTCAGAAAGCAACCAAGGGGCAAAAGGAAAACCTGGCTAAGACAAGAGCAGGAAAATTAAACTAATGCCTGGAGTTTCATCCCCAGTGCAGGGCACTGGGAAGCTCTGGTTGGAATGTTTCTCTGCAGGCAGGGAAATTGGCCTCAAATCCAGTCACTGGAAGAGGTGATGGATCCAGCAGGCAAAACAAGCAGCAACTCAGAGGGGAGTTTAGAAGGACTCAAGGAGGGAGATGCCTGGTGATGGAACAGAACTCATCCAAGCACCAACAGCCTGCTGGGAAGGACTGGAGGAGATGGAGCAACAACGAGAGCTTGGATAAAAAAACTAACGCATCAACTCACTGCAAAACAACAGAAAATAAACCCATATAAAATAATCTCCATGTGGAAAGGCCATCCTGTTATATGTATGATCATTTCCACCTGGGAGCAGGACCTAAATCTAAAATTGCAAACTGCTGGGATTGAGACTCTCCTTGGAGCAACCCAGGCTAGTGGAAGGTGCCCATGGCAGGGGGTGGCACTGGATGATCTTTAGGGTCCTTCCCAACCCAAACCATTGTGGGATTCCTGCTTTTGTCTTAGCCAGGTTTTCCTTTTGCCCCTTGGTTGCTTTCTGAACCTTCTGGCTCTGTCATTCCTGCTTATGATACCTTTGGAAAAGGTTTTATTATTCATCCTATCAGGGTTTGTTTTTTGTTTTTTTTTTTTTCCAAATTTTCCAAAGCTTTATTTTGTTTCTGTCTTTTCTGTGACTCCACGGGAAGTCATTCACATTTTCAGCATGATCTGAACACAACGGATGTTGACTGAGCTCCTTTCCTTTCCTAACAAAGCCCAGTTACTTACGAAGCAGTGGGTTAAGAACCCTCTTCAGTTGTTCCCCTTTGGGTGCATTTGCTATGATCTCAGTTAACCTGGGAAAGAAAATGGAGAGTTGCAATTCCGAGGAATCACCGGCTTTAAACCCACCCCGTGTTAATGAGAAGCCACAAAACACTCTCAGTCTTAAGAACAGAAATTAAAAACACACTTAAGCTTTTCACAGCTCCAAGGAATTCGGGCTCATCCCCACGGACACCCCATGGCAAAGCAATTACCTGTCCAGGGTGGGCAGGGGCGCAGCAGCTTTGGCGCTGTCCACGGGGTACCGCTCCCGCACGGCGAACCTGACGTCATCTGCCTCATCCGTGCGGAACCTCAGGATGTTCAGGATGGTGTACTCGTGGTCCGTGAGGACGACGTTCCCCTGGGAGCGCGGGGGCCATCAGCACAGCCCCAGCGTGTCCCTGCTCCCGGGGCACAGCCCTGGGGCCCGGCACTCACCCTGTCGTACAGCTCCACGATCAGGTGGTAGGCGGCTTCGTCGCTCCCGAACTGGAAGTCGACGATCCTGTCGATGCCCAGCTGGGTCACACTCACCAGCCTCCTGGTCTTCAGGTGCTTCCGGCACTGCCAGGGATGGCAAAGAACGTCTGTGAGGTGGAAATGCCCTCCTGGGACACCAACCTCTTCCTTACTCAATTAAAATACCCTAACAGTAGAAAATCGGTTCTCAGCAAAACGCCCTGATGTTTATAAATAACTGACTGCTCCCAGTTGGAACATTAACACATCTTTTCCATTAAAACCGGCTGTTTGGTTGGCCCAAGGGAGCAGCCAGTGGAAATTCAAAGGGTTTATTTTCCAGGGAGAACTGGGATTATCCCTGCATCCACCCTGGAGAGTCTTTGCTGAGTCACTCCCGTGGGGCGACACCCAGGGGATAAGCAGGTCCATGTGAGCCAGTGCCCAGGTGCATCCCTGTGGATCCACCTGCAGGAACCCAGCCCAGGAGCAAGAGCTGGACCCCCAAAGCCCAGCAGACACAGCAGGAATCTCTAACACAGGGTGCTGCTTAACAATTCAGACAGTCCAACTGGAACGACAAGGAATTCGCAGGAGTAAGATTCCTAAAGGTCTGGGTGGCCCAGAGAACATCCACATTGGTGCTAATTTTGAATAAATTTAAGCATTCACTGTTTTAGGCAGTTAATGACAGCGACATGATCCCAAGCCCACGTTTGCTCCTCCCTCATCCTCAGTCACCCACCGGGTCAGGATTCACCAGGCAAATCCTTCCACTGTTTTCCTGTCTCCAAGGACAGAACACGACCATTCCTGACAGCCAGCCATGCCACCGGAGCAGGAGCTGCAGGTGATTTACCTTCATGGCAAAGCTGGATGGCATCATGTTCTTGGGCCACTCGAACTCGGTCAGGTGGATGCGGATGCCGGACTCCAGCAGCAGCGTGGCCTTGCAGTCCGGCCTGGGGACAGAGCACAGCAGCTGGGCCCCAAAATCCTCGGGGATCCCTCCCAGCTCAGGATATTCTACCATTCCAAGCCACCTCTCTCCACCCACCAGTTTGCAGAGAGTTTTTCTGCAGCGTTTCACGCTCCGCGTCCTATTTCCCGATAACTTTTTGGAGTAAAAATCACCGCGTTTTATCAAAAAAAACCCAGCAGAATTTCACTGAGAACTGGTCAGAAAAGCCACAGGAATTACTGCATTTTATACACATGCAGTGACAGCATTTGAAAAGAACTTTTAAACAAAGAAATCCCAGGCTCTTACTTTTGCAGGCGAATAAGGTACGTCTTGTTATCCACATCATAGACGTTGTTGACCCTCATTCCCAGCAAGCTGCCAAAGGGAAAACACAGAACCCTCTGGACAATCTGACACACAGGGGGAATTAAAATACAAAGAAGGGCAAGTCGTGATAAATTAGGAGGCAGTAGCCAAAGAGGGAGCAAAGGAAGATTAATGGAACGAGCTGGAAGCAAAAGCCACGGAGAAATGGCTGTTAAGGGACAGCAATTAAGAGATGGACAAAATTAGGAGATGGAGGAATTGCTACTAATGGATAAAGTGCAAAGAGCTGAACAAGTCACTCTGTTCCAAGTGGGGCTGGATGTGCAGGCTGTCCTGGACACCAGAAATGTGTCAGAGCTCCCCAGGGATGTGAGGAGCAGCAGAGATTCCCAGCTGGCTGGGAATTGTTCAGCCTAGAGAAGAGAAGGATCCAGGGAGACCTGAGAGCCCCTTGCAGGGACTAAAGGGGCTCCAGGAGAGCTGGAGAGGGACTGGGGACAAGGGATGGAGGGACAGGACACAGGGAATGGCTTCACAACTGCCAGAGGGCAGGGATAGGTGGGATATTGGGAAGGAATTCTTGGCTGGGAGGGTGGGGAGGGGCTGGAATGGAATTCCCAGAGAAGCTGTGGCTGCCCCTGGATCCCTGGAAGTGTCCAAAGCCAGGCTGGACGGGGCTTGGAGCAACCTGAGCTAGTGGGAAGTGTCCCTGCCCATGGTGGGGGTGGGATGGGGTGGCAGAGCAGGTGAGGGGGATGCAGAGCTCAGGCAGGGCTGGGGGGCAGAGCGGTCCACGCAGCACACGCCGGAGAGCTCAGCCAACAGGGAGCAGGGGGCAGGGACGGGAACAGGAGCAGCACTAGAACCAGGAGCCGGAACCAGGACAGGGAGCAGAGCCAGGACCACGACCGGGACCGGGACCGGGACCAGGACCAGGATCAGTGCCGGGACCCCCCGGGCCGGGTCCCGCTCCGGGGGTTGGCGGTACCTCTGCCGCAGCTCGGCGAGCACCGCGCGGATGTCGACGGTGCTGAAGCGGGACTTCATGGCGCCGCCGCCGCCCCCCGCCGGGATCCCGGTCCGGCACAATTCCCGGTTCCCGATCCCACACACAACTCCCGGCCCTCAGCGCTCCCTTCCGGGGGGGCCGCCCCGCGCCTGCGCCGCACGCGCGCTACGGGTCGCGCCCGCAGCCAATTCCCGTCGCTCCGCGGCCGCGCGCGGGCCGGGCCGGGCCGTTACGGCGCGCGCCCGGCAGGAGGCGCTGAGCGCGCGGGGCGTGAGGGGGGAACGGCGGGCACGGGTGGGATAAAGGGACCAGTGAGGGATAAAGGGACCCGCAGTGAGGGATAAAGGGACCTACAGTGAGGGATAAAGGGACCCGCAGTGAGGGATAAAGGCACACGCAGTGAGGGATAAAAGGGTCCAGTGGGATAAAAGGGTCCCCGGTGCGAGATAAAAGGATCCACAGTGTGTGACTAAGGAGTCCCACGGGCGGCAAAAGGGTGCCGCGTGTGTGACAGAAGGATTCCCCCCACCGTGTGTGAGGAAAGGGTCCCGGGTGTGACTGAAGGGTCCCTCGCGTGTGTTGGGGGGCAAAGGGATCTCTCTGTGTTGCCCAGGAAAAGGCATCCCACGGGTGTCCGTGCCGGGACGACGGAAGGAAAAGATTCTGGCTTGGCGATTGGCGTCGCGCTGTGAGTTTTTTCCCGAGCGCTGTGTCTGCGGTGCCGCGCGGGCCCAGGGGGAGGCGCTGTGTGCGGGGGTAAAAGGGGGTGTTTGCGGGGTAAAGCAGGGGGTGTGTGTGGGGTAAAAGGGGGTGTGCGGGGCAAAAGGGAGCCCGCGTGTCTCTGTGTTGCCCAGGCTACGCTGCAGGGCCTGTTCACAGGCGCGATCCCGCTACTGACCGCCACGGGAGCTTTGACCTGCTCCGTCTCCGACCTGGGCCGGTTCACCCCTCCTTAGTCAACCTGGTGTCCCGCAGCTCCCCGCGGGTCACCATATTGATGGCGGCCTTAGCTTGGACGCCCGCTCGGCACAGCGCCCTGCAGCCCAGAACTCCTGGGCTCAAGCGATCCGTCGGGCTCAGCCTCCCCGGCAGCTGGGACTACAGGCGCGCGCCACCGCGCCCGGCGCTGCCCGCCCCGCCGACGCCGCCCATACGGCCCTCACCGCAGTGACGTCACGGGGGCGGGGCGGCTCTGACGTCACGGAACGGGGGAGGGATCTCCCGCAGCCCCTCCCGTAACGGGGTGGGAAGGGGGAGCGGTGACGTCATTCGGCGTGCGCGCGGGGTGGGAGCGGTGACGTCACGCGCGGCGCGGTGCACGCCGGGAGCCGCCGTGAGGGCTTTAAGGGCGGGCGGGCGCCGCCATCTTCCTCTCGGCGCGGCGCGGCCATGGGGCACCAGCAGCTCTACTGGAGCCACCCCAGGAAGTTCGGGCAGGGCTCCCGCTCCTGGTCAGTGCCGCGCCTCGGGCTCGTAGGGCGGGGGCAGCCGCCTCGCTTCCCTTCCCCTTATCCCCCTTCCCCGTATCCCTCCTCTCTCTGTCTCCCCCTCACCCCCCAAGCCGCCATTACCCGCCCTAACGCGCCGCGCTCTCTTCTCCCCCCTCACAGCCGCGTGTGCTCGAACCGCCACGGCCTCATCCGCAAGTACGGGCTGAACATGTGCCGGCAGTGCTTCCGCCAGTACGCCAAGGATATCGGCTTCATCAAGGTGAGCCGCGGGACGGCGCGGGGGGCTCGGGGGGAGCCGGACCCCGCTGACGCCTCTCTCCGTTTCTTGCAGCTCGACTGAGCGCCCCGAGGATGAGGAGACAGCCCAGAGCAGCCGGGGCGTCCCTGAGCCTCCCCGGCACATCCGCAGCGTCCCGGCTCGGCCTCACTTAATAAATGTTGTCCCAATCCAACTGGTGGCGCGTGTTTGCCTTCTGTAAAGGTTTGAGTGGCTGCAGGGATTCCTCTCCCCGCAGTGGTGTTCTCAGAACTGGGGGGACTAAACTGGGGTTGCCCCGATGTCCTCACCCCCCCTACAAAACCCGGTGGTCTCGGTGGTGTTTGTTGGGGTGATGCCCCTGAGCCTTCAGGTTTGCAAATGCCAGGCGTGGTCAGCTTGGAGTGGCTGGGAAATGAAACCAGGTAGTCAATCTGCTGGAGCGTGGCTTGGAATTATGGAACGACTTGGGTGGGAAGGGACCCTAAAACTCATCTCTTCCCACTCCCCTGCCGTGGGCAGGGACACCTTCCACTACCCCAGGTGGCTCCAAGCCCCGTCCAACCTGGCCTTGGACACTTCCAGGGATCCAGGGGCAGCCACAGCTTTCCTGGAGAACAGGTAACACGTTGTCAGTGGCAGCACAGAGCTCAGGGAGCTGCTTTTCCCCCAGTTGTCTGGATAAATTGCCCCAGCTGGTTTAGGAACTCTGAAACTGAGGAAAGTTGTTATCATCCCCAGAGCTGCTGCCACAGCTTTGTTGCCAGGGGATTAAACCCACGGTGAGTTTACAAGGGAGGAACCAGCAAATCCTGGGACACAACATTAAGATCAATTCACAGGTAAAACCTGATGAAAAAATCAAGAGTGACTAATAGATCTGCCTTGGTCAGGATTTCAGGTGGTTGGGCCTGAAATGGTTAAATCCTGGTTCTTAGTGGAAAACCATTCAGTGAGAAGGTTCTGCACTAAAAAATAAAGAGATTCAGTTGCTCTGATGGTGCTTTTGGGCCTTTTTTCCCCCCTCAGTTACTCTTGATGGACACAGGGAGGTGACTCCTGTGGGGTGTGTTTTGTTTGGCTTTGGTGTGATCCTGAAAAAAATCAGGAAACACTCATTGCCCTTTTAACCAATCAATGAATTCCTGTAAAATTGCAGAGAAACACTAAATCAGTGAGTGAAGATGCAAAATGTGAGGGGAAATCCGTGTCTTCCTGTTCCCCCCAATGTGTTGGGGGCAGGAGGATCAGAATGATTTAAAATTCTCAGAGCTACAAGAGCCATTTGAGCCTGGCAGGGAGTTTCACTTCATGACAGACACTCAGATGTTTTTGTAAAAGCTTTTTCCCTATTTATCCCACTTTTTTTCTAACTCTGGGGAGAAGGGGGTGCAAGACAACCAGTAATTCCCTTTTCACCCTTATTGCTGCCTTAACCAGGTATTTATTGCCCAATACACAGCGAAGAGGAGGTGCCAAAACCTCGAATTTCCTCAGCTCATGGTGAAAATTCCGTTTTGTTTCTCCCTAAAGCCGGTGGTTGCAGCCTCTGAAGGTTCACAGATGTGAAGCCTGAACTTACTTTGGCTGCAAAATGATTTATAAAAGAGCTGCTGGTTCCCCTGAAGAGCAGGTAAAATCAAACTGCTCTTCAAGGGCTTTGCATTAATGGGGAACAACTCCTACAGGTTTTCCTGTAGGGAAATAACGTTGCCTACAAGGAAAAGGCAAGGGATGCCTTGGCTTTTGGAGGGATGAGCCTCCAAGGGCTGAAATTGAGTTTATAAAGGATTTGGATCCCTGAAAAAACCCCACTAAATTGCATTGGATCACTCACCAGATAAAATTTATGGTTGTTAGAGGCTCCAGGAGGAATCTGCAAGGCTTTGGGTAAAACACTGCCTTCCAGACTTCTCCTCAGGCTGGAAAATGAGGCTCTCTGATGTGCTCAGGTAGGAGAGCAGGGTAATTCCTGCTGGGAATTTGGGACAGCACCAGAGCTGGGAACATTTTGTGATGCAGAGTGGGGGATCTTGGGCTCCCTGAGATGGGATTTATGGCCGGGGAGGATCTTCAGGCTTTTTCCTTCTTCCAGCACCTCAAGGTGAGTTCCAGGTGGATCCCAATCACCTGGATTGGGATGTGGCTGCTCCTCTGCCCGGGGTTCACTTCCCCAGCTGTGAGTCCAGGATAACACTCCCTGCACCATGAAATGGGCTGAATATTCCCAATATTGACGCTCCTGAATTCCTGCAAGGAGCAAACTCCACCTGGGGCCGCTCCAACACGTGTCAGCTGCAGGCAACGCTTGGAGCAGAGTAAACTGAGCTCAGAGCTGCTCATCATTCCAGTGCCAGGCTGAGGGAGAGGGAAAAGGATCCTCCAGAGGGTGGGAGCAGGGACAGGCAGCCTGAGAGCATGCAGGGAGTTTGTCCAAGCAGGCAGGAATTAGGGAAGCTAAAGCCCTGGTGGAATCAAATCTGGCCAGGGTCATCAAGGGCAACAAAAAAAAGGCTCCAGGAGAGCTGGAGAGGGACCTGGGACAAGGGATGGAGGGACAGGACACAGGGAATGGCTTCAGACTGGCACCGGGAGGCAAATAAAGGCGGTGCAGCATCCCGGAGCAGGAGGTAGATGGCACACTCTGCCCGCAGTTCCATCGGCATTCCAGCAATCCACGGCTCCTCCCCGCGAGCCGCAGCGGGCAGGAGTTCGTCCTGTGGGTGCTCTGTCCGTGCTTTCTTTGGAGAAATCCCTGCGTGTTGTATCCCTGCTGCGGGAGGGCAGGATTGGGACACAGCCCACGGCTCTGCCCCTCTCGCTCCTGCTTTGCTCCCGGGTGACGTGGGGAGCAGAATTCCAGTTCTTGCCGTTCCTTCCCTGCTGGTTTCACTGCCCTTGTGCTCTGGTCCCGTAATTTGGGAGAGGAATCTTAAAAACACACCCAAACCAAGGTGTTTATCCCTGCTCGGGTTATCCCTGACTTTCTCCAGCTTAACGCTGCTCCTCTGCTTCTCCCCAAGCCTGTGCCAGCACCACAGATACTCCTGAAGGGAGGGCTTTTATTCATAAATATATTTTAGGAGAGTCTAACTCACATCTGTGTGTCACCTCCCTTGGCTAAAAGCCGTGCTGAGCACCAGGATGATGCTCCCTGTTGGAGGGGATCATTGCTCCTGCATCCAGCAACATCAGCACTTCATGTGTGTGAAACCAGTGGATTTGGATAAATCCCACTGATTTCTGCCTCCCGATTTCTGCCCCAAGCAGGCTGGAGCTGCAGCAATGCTCAGGTATCCCCAGCTCCTACTTTATAATTTTATTTCCTCCTTTAACATGCCTTTGCCAAATCTTCCCAGTGCCAGGATGAGCCTCCAAAAACCGAGGGTGCAGCACCCAGGAAAAATTTCCTCATGGGAAGGGTGAT